TGTGTGTGTGTGTGTTAGTTTGTGTGTGTGTGTGTTAGTTTGGCCATTTGCAGCTCTTTGGGAATGTGTTTGAAATCAGATTGGGGGAGATGATAGTGGGGGCTGGTTCGAATCTTGTTGACGGTGAAGAACCATCTGGCAATTTAAAACCCCTATACAAACGTAACATCTCTGACCAGAACTGTAATTTATATGCAAATGTCAAAAGGCTAAAAGGGGTCTCTTAAGCCATAAACATCCAACGCTCATGCATGATTCTACGCAGACGCTACACAATGTAGTGTTGCTTTGACTGTTGGGTAGAAGTCTGCTGTGAGCTTGCCTCACTGCAGTTTCAGCAGAAGTGCACATCAAGAGAAGTGTTCCAGGAAGTGACATTTCATCAATGCATTGCAAGCACACAGTCCTATTGAGCATACTTGCATGCATTCTGTGCTGAGGTGTTAAACAAACCTACAGAATTATCTACAAATACCTGTGCCGAAAACTGGCCGTAGAAGTTTACATGAAGGCCTGCTATAGTTGGCCATTTAGGCAGCTGAGAATACAATGCAAAAATATGAAGCTACAATCATTTTGGAGTATGTTTCATGCCTCAGCTTGGCCAGAGCATATTTTTGAAAGTCTTGCATATGCATTTACTGAAATACGTTCTTGAATTACAATACAACAATGCTGTTTGCACTGCGCTCTTCCGTTACTTGATCCTTTTATTTTGGTGCGTCAATCTGTTAAGTTACTTAGTATAGGAAATTATGATCCGCACTCAAGAGAACAGTCTTCTTTTTACGTTTTATTTTACATTCATCACTGATGAGAAAAGACACATTTTTGCATTGTTCACAGCATTCTGCTTAACAGGCCTGACCCTAAGATTATACCCAAATTTCTTTAAAAGCATGTCTGTATCTGCTTTTTAGATATCACCCAAGTCATCCAAGACATCACCAATGTAAAGCCTCGTCAGAAGTACTTGGCTAAGAAAGTGTGTAAAAAGAAAGAGATCACATCCAAAGGAGCTAGTGGCCTTGAGGAGAAGCCAGCAGAAGAATTTGAAGAGGACGAGAAAGAACAGTTGATGGAGGAGCAGTGGGTGGGAAGTGAAGGGCATGTTCCTCGTGAGGATGTGCCTGATGGCGCCCAGATCAGCAAAGCCTTTGATACGCTCTGTAGCATCATACGTGGCCGCATGAGGAAGGTAAGGAGACCAGAGCCGATTGCTGACTTCTTCACCAAGGGACGTTACGTATTAGTGACAGGTGACTCTAGCTACCTTGACCCCTGCTTCTTTTCCACTACCCCTTCTGCCTCTCACGTCTATATTACAATCCAAGATGGCATGATGCCTTATGATCCATACTGGAGAGGTACACCCTCACCTGTCCCAAGCCCCATATCTGGACCAACACCCTTAACCCCTTCCACACCTTCAGAACCAGAAACAGGAAAAGATGATGGATATACGAAGAAGGGTGGAAATGGGGAGAGGGAAAAGGCCAAAAATGGAGAGCCTCATCCAAAGGTGACAGAACCAGAACCGAGCCCCAGTCCACCACCAGGCCCTCATGATGACAAAGGCCCCAGCCCTCCTCCAGGCCCCAGGCAGCCCTCACCCCAACGTGGTGGCAAAAGCAAGACCCCGGATGATCCCAGCAGCTTTCGATTCCCTCCACCCATGCCATCGCCCAGTTCCATGCCCCCTGACTCCATGAGTTATGAGAAGGTAGAAGTAGTGGAGTCAGTGGAGAAGCTCTCACCTGACAAAAAAGTGAAGGGCTATGAAGAGACAACCACAGTGGTGGAGACCATGATCGAGAAGACCAGCAGAAAGAAACACGCTGATAGATCTTCTTGAAACCCCTCAAACGTTCCGCACATTCTATCCATTCCTGCCTCGGACCTGCTCCAGTTTTGCTTCCTGCTTGCTGTTGACGAGATTCCTAGTGGTTCGCTGTTAACTTCCTGCAGCATTGCACCACTGCCTTTGGCCTTTACTGTCTGAAAACTTGGGAAGCCAAAAATTAAACGCCCCGTATTCCCTCCTCACACAAAAGTAAATTTGGTAACTAAGAACCTTGACACAGAAAATATTAATTGCCTGTTTCAATTGGATTCACAGGCTCTATTCCAAAACCTAGTGAGCCTTCTAGGGCACCATCCTTATCGAAACTGAACCTGAACTTCTTAAGCGATTGATTTGGAACGTTCTACCTAGAGCTATTTACAAAGTGCACAGAGGAATTTCTGTTCAACAAATGATTTCAAAAGAGTTTGGTGTTACCTTGTTGCTAAGCTAGTGAAGTATGCGCATACATTTATAATCATAAAAACAAAGGGCATACAAATGGTACATTTTCAGTTTTATATTATATATTCTGCATTTTCTCTTGCTTCATCTGCCATCTTGGATGGATATTTTACTCTGGGATTGCATTCTCTGCCAAATATACTTGCAATGCTGCCTTAGAATTTTTCACATCTCGGTATTGTAGGACGCATTGAACGAAAATTTGTCTACCTTTTGGAACAGCCTTGTCATCGGAAGCACACCTATGATGACTTAAAATGCTGCCTAGGTAGGCAGTTCCCTAGGTTGTGGAATAGAGCCATACAGCTACCCCAATTAACATGTACAATATCACCCTCTCTTGCCCTTACTCTCAGGTCAAACCAAAGCAAATGTTTAGAATTTTACTTGCTACTATTTTGTTCAATTTAAGACACCAGCATTGCCCACCACAGTCTTGATGTGTATTAACTGCACCACAAATAAACATCAAAACCAAACAAAATCTCAATTTGTGTTGTCTGTGTGTTATCACATTACATTATCTGTCACTCTTACTACAATCAGTGCTTGTTTTAGACACAATTAGATATTAATTGGTTTTAAGTTTTGCATCAAAACAAATTAAAAGGTTTTTTTGGGGTGGGGGGGCACTTATGTTTAAAATGATCTTCGGGTAGCATGGTGGCTCAGTGAGTAGCACTGTTGTCTCACAGTAAGTAGGCTCCTGGTTCAGGTCTCGGCCAGGGAGGTGTTCTGTGTGGTTCTTGCGTGTTCCCCCCACATCTGCATGGGTTTCCTCTAGGTGCTCTGGTTTTCCCCACAATCCAAAGACATGCACCATATGTAGGTGTTTCCTAGCACCGGGATTGCATGAGTTAGTGCTTTCTCAGTGCTGGGATGCGACATGAAGGACATCCAGTGTAAAACGTGCCAAATTGGTTGTGCTGATTATTCCTCCCATTATCCCTGATGGGAGCAAGCCAAAAGAGAAATGTTTAAAATGATGTTCACTCCCACAAGAGATGAGAGTTGTAAGAAAAGGTGTTTTATTCTAAATGGAAATATGTTTTATTCTAAATGGCGGTTGCCGTGTTGAGATCACATGACCAGCTACATTCTACTCACTCTTGGTAACTCTGTAACCCCCCTGCTTTAGTCTGTGATAAAGGTATTTCTCCAGTGCCATTGATAATTTTGTATGCCAGAGCATCCACACCAATAGATGGCAGTATAAAGTCCAAGATCACTATTGTATTGATTGATTATAAAGATAACTAAGAGGCAGTAAAAATGACAATGTAGCTTTAAACATATGTAATATGTTAAAACAGAACCTTAAATATCACTGAAGTAAACTATTAACTTTTCTGCATGAGTCAGTTGCAAAAATAATTTTTTTTTCATGAAACTGACCTTGCTGGATACAGATAAAACCTTTGCATAATCTACTATGCAAGGTCCAAAGCGAAGAGAAAATACTGAACTATCACATTCAGAATTAAGTAGAGGATTCTGACTTGGGCACAACGCACTTTTTTGAGATGTATTTGTTTATACTAATTTAAAAAACAGATGCAAATTAATATAATCCAGGTTCAACGTCAAGTTGTAAAATGCCTATAAACACTCCTGAAACTACGAATATTGACACAGCAAGTTGCTACACTGGCAACCAAAAACTGTGTTCAAAGCTGTAAAATTGCTCGTTGCTAAGCTTCTTGGTAACCATAATTCAATTTATCATAGCGATTAGTTTCCAAGTTAGACTTTAATTCTAAACCACTGTACCCAACATCACCCAACCCACTGGGGAAATTACTGTCTTAATCACTCAGGTGCTTTAACAAACAGCTAAATAGATTTATTATATATAGACAATGCTATGAAATATTCTTTGTTTGGCCATAAGTAGTAGAATGATGCACATTTCATCTCTTCATAAAAAAAACAAAAAGAAAAAAAAACAGAAAGAAATATCACCACTCTTGTTTGCAAGATACTAAACTTTAAAGGAGAATCACACAAAATGATTTACAGTCACAAACTGTACAGCAGAGGTGGGGGACAGCAGGGTAAGCAAGAACATAATAAAGTATAGATATATTTGGTTTATATACATTTCTGTAAAGAGTAAAAAAAGGAACATCGAAAGTAAGAACTATTTTCTCGGTGGGACATACAGCAGTGCCAAAATACACATTTGGACACTCAAGTCACACTTTCTAGTCTGAATGTCACTGCATTTAAAAACTAAATATATACAAATGATGCTAGATGTTAATTCAGAACTTACTTTCTGAGGTACTGTTGCAATGACCTTTAACCAGCTGCTGTCAGATTTTTTTTTTTTAGATATCTGAACTCAGTATATTTATTTGAAACCTGACAAAGTGTCATGATTCTGGTCCCTGCTGTTCCTCCCACTCACAAGGTCTCCATCACCTTTTCACCCCGGACTCCATTTCCCATAATCCCATGCATAGAAACTGATCATTCACTCACCTGTTTCCTATCAGTAGGACTATAAGAGCTGCTCTCATTGATACACGGCTTGCAAAATATTGTTTGTATTAGCTACAATTCTAAGTGTTTCCTGTTATCCTTGTCTTTGTCTTTGCCTTGCCCAGCTTGTGTTTTTTTTTTTTTTACTTTGGACTGTTTTCTGGTTTTTGATGATTTTGCTGCCTGCCCTGACTCTCGCCTGTTATCTGGATTACTCTTTTTGCCTTGCCCTTAGACATTGTTGTTTGCTGGTGTTTGAGCCTGCCTGTTTTGACCACGCTTTTTCAAATAAAGCCTGCATTTGGATCTCCAACTTCGTTGCCACGCTCGTCCGTTACATAAAGGTCTTTTTGTGAAGTGTTTTGCTTGTAAAGTGTGCTTGTGCTGTCTTTCATTAAGGAAAATGCCACTTGCTTTGATATTTGGCACAATTATGTTCAAACATTTCTAAGTGTGTCTTAAGTGTTGAAATGGTTTTCACGGCCGCTGTATCATTCAGAGAATACACTTTAATATGAGCGACTCACGTCAAACATTCATCAAATAATCACAAGAAAAAAAGAGAAAGCCGAGAGAGAACAGGCTAGGAATATATGCTAATACAGAGGGGATATTATCATGCACATGGCTAGTTATTTTTACTCAAAAGGCTTTTCAAGCTTCTCTCCACAGCTTCGTCTAATTCCTCCTCAAGCTCTTCTTTTTTGGACATGGCCAGTTTGGACTGGAAGTCCCGCACCACTTGGTCTATGTAAGGAGCACTTTGTGTTCCGTGCAGCATGAGGGTCCACTCTTTCAGCACGCCGCTCTGTGGGGCTTCACCCTGGAAACCCACCTCCAGCAGCCAGGTTCCTCGAGGGTCCTCGCCCCACGTGTGGGTGGTCATGAAGGGCCACTTGTCGAAGCCAACCTTGGCGTCGTCATCCCGGGGTCGGCGGCTCAGCAGGATGGACTTGGTCCCCATTGGTGAAGTCATGTTGACGTTGAGGTCCCCGCGGCGGCTGGCATTGATGGTGATGACGGCCTGCACGTGCTCCAGATAGCGCACAAAGTTGTCCTTGCCCTGGCAGGCATCGGTCGTGATGCTCAGCACCAGTTTGTTGGCCGACTGTATTTTGCTGTGCAAAGAAAGAGAGCAAGAGAATGAGATTTTATAACTTAACTTGCATTTAACACTGCAGAAGAGCCAAGGGCAAAAGGAAAAAATTTAAGCTGTGACTGACGATGGAAGATACTGTCTAACTGGCTCATTTACAGACAACAGATGGCATTTTATCAGGTGCACTCTGTTAACCACTGCTGTGTTTCCAGCTAACGGGTTGACATAGAAGCTAAACTTCCATGGGTGAGCCTTAGGGGAGCTCTAAGCATCTCAACCCAGACAAATGTTATGTTCTTCCATAATCACCTCTCTGGAGCAATGGAGATACATAGCATCCTGATCAATATGTCTTTGAGGGAAAAAAAGGCCACGTGGAGAATTTCTGCAGATGTTTTTTAGGAATCAAACAGCAGTCATTCACAAACGTCTACATTTCAATACCTGTATGTTATGTATTTTATATACAGTATAGAACAACAGATCTAGTTTTGATTTGATGCTTTCTGCTATCAGTAAGAGTGCAGTACTCTCAGCTATCAGTGAAATGTGAAACTGATATATTTCAGAGTATAAACTGAATGAGTAAAAACATGTGATAGAAATTTTTTGTATCCTTTAGGAATTTGTTGCTGAAAGGTTGGTGTCACCTACAGGAATAAGAAGGGTTTAAAAGGAAATTTGTTGTAAAGCACACTATTTAGGGGTGGGCAATCTTCCCAAAATATCATATCACGATCTTATCATACAAAATCATGATCCACGATCTGAATCACGATATTCCCAATTTTGAGATGTACTATTGAGAATATCCAGAGTGGAACAAGCCTATGACTTGCATAATGTAATGCAATGTATTGCATTAAACAACCAAAAATGGACATTAAAGCCTGAGTTAAACTTTAAAGGGGTCATATGATGCGATTTAAAATTTTCCTTTCTCTTTGGAGTGTTACAAGCTCTTGATGCATAAAGAAGGTCTGTAAAGTTGCAAAGACTAAAGTCTCAAATCCAAAGAGATATTCTTTATAAAAGTTAAGAGTCAACCACGCCTACCTAAAACGGCTCGTTCTAACACGCCCCCACATATCTACCTCACTATGTGGGAAGATTTGCATAACGCCGCCCAAATATTCACGCAAAGAAAGAAGGCGTAACTTTTATTCTCGCTGTTGCTGTTGTGGCCATGTTGTGGAGACACTGTGTTTCATTGTGAAAAGAGGACGATATCCGCTTCATCATGCCTGGAGCTGATCCGTGCTGGTCGCTGAGGAAATACATCAACTTTGCGCTGTGGATCGCCGGATCGGCTTTCACCGTGGACGAAGCGGAGTCCAGCCCGTGGTCGTCACATGTGGTTGCCGCAAGCCCGCCGGCCGTGCCGTTCTCAAGCCCGCCTGCATCTGCTCACTGAAGCCGGCCTCCGCATACTCTAGGCTGCAGCTCACTCTAGGCCTCCGGCCTCCGCTCACTCAAGGCCGCAGTGTGTGATGCTGTTTCGTTGTGAAAGCGAAACTACTTTGTTTGGTCTTCCAAAAGAGGACACGACTAGAAATCAGTGGTTAAGTTGTATTTACAACACTGTTCCAGAACAGTTTAACCCAAATATTCAGAAGTGTCCAGCACATTTTATGGAGGACTGTTTCTTGATCCTGGTAGAGTAGACTACAATGCCGGCTGTTCTGACTCACAGACTGCAAGTACATTTTTTATATTTAAAGAATTTGCCACTGACGATTCAAACGCGAGTTTTGAGCAGTGTAGAGTAGGGCTTGTTGTTTGTCATTTCTCCGATCACAAATGCAGACATGGTTTTATGTTTATGTGGCGCGATGCAACACAATGCGTAAAAAGACATTATAATCCGTAATTATGTAAAAATCGACGTGTTTCAGAAAGATAACACAATAATGATAACACAATAATGTACAGCATGTGGAAAATAATGTGTTTTTTGAACCTTAAACCGCATAAACACATTTCATTACACCAAATACACAAAATAATGTTCTTTTTAGCAGCATCATATGACCCCCTTTAAAACACTGCATCCCTGTATGAATCAAATATACGTTGCTTCTTATTAAAGTTATAAAGTGATTAATTCAAGAGCAGTGAGTGAGTGTCTTTTGTTGTTTGATTAACATTAATGACACAGTCAGCAGTAGGTTTATTAGGCTGCTGTCTCTTTAAGACCGAACGCAGGGATATAATAAACTGATACACATTCGATTTCTTTTCCAGTTGTTTATATTCACTTAAGACATAACTGACTGACTTTATGTAAATACTCGCCAAGACAGACATTTCGACATATTATATTTGTGTGTATATTTGACCATTTATGCATGTGCCTGAAACTCCACATATACTTTGCTTGTTCGTGTTTAGCTCTCTTTTTAAAATAAACTATGTCCCACAGTAGACTGCATTATACGACAGTCACATTACATGGTTGGACTGATTAAGTTTAGGAGAGGCGTAAGCACACTGCTTCAAATGATTGGAACAGCTTGCGGCACAAATCGAAACTGAAACTATTTTTTTTTTCATTGCAGTACTATTGCTAACTCAAGGTGAGTTTTTATTTTATTTTTTATTTTTTTAAGTACGTCACCATGCATAAAAGACATATGATAGAGACGCGTGATATAATTTGACCAGCCACAGTCATCTAATAGGTAGTCATTGCTGTAGTTTTAACGTTATTATGAGGACATAAAAGATCACAATCTCTACGGTTCGCTTAAAAAGTAGATCGTAGACACCTTCGAGATCGATCAGGATATAAAATCGACAGATCACCCGCCCCAACACTATTTACATCAAATAATATAAAAACAAGACAAAGACGAACATTTTAATTGATTGTTTACAATACAAGTAGAAACATGCGTTCCCTTGTGAGAAAGAAGTATGTTTAATTTTTATTGAATGTGTGCACATCAAATTCAAATCTTAAAAGTACATTTTAAAAAGCTGTACTTGCAGATAATACAAAAAAAAATGCCACTTAAGTGTACTTGATGTTTCCTACCACACTTTTTTTTTTTTTAAGTACACTTTGTAATAATGTCAAAATAAATGTTTTACTTGAAAGTGCATATTAAATCATTTTTTGATAATCTATTTTGAAGTACACATATTTGGTATTACATTTTAAATGAATATGGTGTAAATTTCAACTCCATTATGCAATAGCTTTTGTACTTCATTGCCGTCCTATGTTTTTATATTTTTAGAGTATTTATTTATATTATAGGTCACATGTATTTTAATGTCAAATGTAAAAATTATCTTTATTTTCTTTTTTAATGCTGCAAATCGGATTGAAACAGAATTTCATTGTATAAACATTTGCAATGACAATAAAGACCTAACCTAACCTAATTACAACTGTGCAATTATATTTATACAATGTAATTTCTATTGAAACTTGTATGTCATGTATTTCAATATATTTTAATTTATCATAAATGCTTGTCAGTACATTCAGCAGTGCATTTTAAATATATTTTAAAAACAATAGAGGTAATTGTACATGTAATTGTAAAAAATGTACTGAAGTCCTACTTAATTGGGTCAAAAAGCACTAATGTTCACCTATAATATCAATGCATAATATACATTTTCATTTAATTGTAAATAACATGCACTTCATATTAAAATATATTCTTCATTATTTCTGTAGTAAATGCTCATTTTATAAGGATGCTAAAGCGTACTTCTTTTCACAAGGATTAAGAAATATATAGTGTCAATTAATATTCATGCTGATTTTAAACCCTTCTGCAGACTTAAATCAGTGAAAAAAAGGCCTATGTGGGCTTAACTATTAGATCGGATGAATTTGTTCCAGATGACATTTACAGAGTTCACATTAATTTAGTGACATTAGCTAATAAACCAGTATGAATGTGAAGACATCTCTGATCATAATGTACAGGCATCAGGCTAAGACAAATGCGTTTCACTACAACTACAGAAATGTCAAATAAATAATGACCAAAATGAGTATGTGTGCAAGAGCTGGAGCTCTAATGCAAAGCTTGTGTTTTCATTTCAGAAATACCCCTACACTTCTGCCATTCTGAGCTACTGCCATTTCAAAACAAGCAGCAAAACTGGGCCACGAGAAAAAAAAAAAAAAAAGATTATATGTTCCTCTATTTTCAATGGTGCACCATCCTGCTGCCAACAATTGCTTTGGCCAGATGATGGGTTTTTCCCCTACATAAGGCTGCTTTGTTGTGGCGCGAGCACAAAGCCCGCCGCTGCTGACTGCCTGTTTTGTGCTGCTGCGATGATAACGGCGCAGGACGTGAGTGAGCGAGTGTAAAGTGGATGTAATGGCATTATCAGAGGCAAGTCTCCCAGCCTGGCCCTTTAAGCGCTCACATTAGTGGGTGTGTTTGTGTGTGCATCAGTCTTTGAGAGGCTAGTGTTTCCCAGGAAACTAGTTGATAGAAATATCCAAAGGCCACACAAGAGGACACAAGGGTGTGGATGTGTTTGGTGCACGGAGACGAGAACAACAGTTATTAAAAGAGCAAGCGAAACATCGAAGAAAATGTAAGATCTGTTGGCTATGTGTTTGCGAAAACCTACTCAGCACATAGATGTCAACAGCTAGTAGTTGTACAAGGTAGCTGCGATATATAAACTCAAAATTGCAAGATATAAATCCAGAATTGTGAGATAAGCTCATAATTCAGAGAAAAAAAGTCAGAATTGTGAGATAAACACGGAATTGCGATTTTAAAAAAGTCTACAAGTTTATATGTAAATTATGTCTTTTTCAGCTAAATTTAATTTTACATTTTAAATTTTAAGTTTGTCTCATAATTCCGATTTTTTCTTCTTCTTACAATTCCAAGTCTAAATTGTGAGATGATAAAAAGTCTAAAATGTGAGATAAAAAGTCGCAATTACCTTTCTTATTTTTTATTACGTGGTGGAAACCACAAATTGCGAAAACAATTCAGCAGAAAAAGACAGAATTGTGAGATATAAACTTACATAGACTTTTTTTTTTAAATCGCAATTTCATGTTTATCTCACAATTCTGACTTTTCTTCTATGAATTATGAGCTTATCTCACAATTCTGGGTTTATATCTCACAATTCAGCAGAAAAAGACAGAATTGTGAGATATAAACTTACATAGACTTTTTTTTTTAAATCGCAATTTCATGTTTATCTCACAATTCTGACTTTTTTTCTATGAATTATGAGCTTATCTCACAATTCTGGGTTTATATCTCGCAATTTTGAGTTTATTTCTCACAACTAACTTATTTATTTTTGTTATTATGGCCTCCATAGTAATGGTCGTAATTTGTAAAACTTAAGAAGCATACATTTCATTCAGAAAACCATTGTGAAGTTAATTCATAACAATTTACGTAAGACAGAACACTGAACGCAGTACACAAATTGCGATCAGGGTGTGACTACCAAATCTGGATTGACATGAAAATTTAGAATACCTGAACTGCAGTGATCTGATATTATGCAAATGTAATTAACAGCTTTGCTTATAACACATCAGTGAACAGGGAACTCTGAGAAACACACTGAGCCATGACCTGAAACAAGGAGGAATGTGAGCTCATGCTTTTGTTTTAATTACTGCTCTGGAACAAAAGGTGGGCCACTGTGTGTCATTTGCCGCCTGTGAATTGCTTGGTTTTTTCTGTATAGCTTTGAGTCATCTAAAATGACTCAAGAAGTGCTTGAGTTTGACCAAAGCATATCTCTAAAAGTTCTGAAAAATATATTAAAAAGGTATTTTTTTAACACATTCTTAAAAGTACTGCAATGTCACTTAGAAGGTTCAGAAATGATCATGTATTCATTTTCACATGTTGGTGAGAAAGTATGGCTAAATCCTGTAATGACTCAGACAGTCATAGATTCGGGGAACTCCTGCAAAATCAAGTAAACCCTGGTTTTTCCTGGCTCCAGACACTTGTGATGTGTTCTGTAGTTAGTTTCATGTACGCGTGTAGGCATTCATTAGTCAGTGTGGATAGGAGTCTTATCACACGGCAAACGCTCTGCCTGCTTCCACTAATTACACTTCATTCACATCTTTCCTCTACCGCTGCTTAATTGCTGTTCTTGAATTGTGCCTCGCCAGAACTCCCACCAACCCTGTGTCTGAGGTATGATACGAGGGGTGACGACCGCGATGGAGGTTTTGTCAAGGAGTGCATGCACACACACACACACACACACACACACACACACACAGTCTCAGTGTAATTGCGGCTGTTGCCATAGCATGCGGTGCCCAGCAGTGAGTGGGAGCGGACTAATTATAGCAGATGTGAGAACGAGCAGCCGAGAGCAGCAGAGTGAGTGTAGAGAGTCCGGAGGGCGACACATGCAATATGCCTTCACACAGAGCACAGAGGGGGTCAGAGCGGCCCGGATAACACCACAATCACACACAGGTAATGCATATCAAAACAGAGGGAAAATTATATTTAACACCACAGTGAATTCTGAAATCAAACCTGTTTTAAGCATTATTTTTTCTGTGTGTATGATGGCTGTAGCTTGTGTCATGTGGTTTAAAAGGGTTTTAGGCACTCCAGGACCTTTCTCACTCAGTGTGGTTTAGTGACGTGAATGTATGACGCAATGACGTTCTTGAATCAAAACAATAAATCCCTATGGACCCATTCACACTGGGCGCAATCAATCGCGGCACAACAAAGCGAGATTTATTTATTTTTGATCAGTGTGTCGATTTTTTCCCCGTTGCCCCATGATGAAACAAGCTGTCCAATTAGATTTGAGCTTTAGATCACACTGCTGTTGCACAAAAGGCAGAGATTGGTGGAGATACAGCATAGAAAGTCGTTTTGAAGACCAGTGTAAATACAGAAAAAAAAGTATTATATTAGAAACACCGCTCAAAAATAATTGTGAAAATTTCGAAAATTAGAAATAAATTTCTGTGCAATTATGAGTCAGTTTCTGATTAATCTATTCTACATTTGTCTCCAGCATCCTGTTCACTTGCAAATATTACTGTCGGCCTGCTGCAGTGAAATAGCATAATGTTAACCTCACGGCTGCAGTCGTAGTGGTTGTTCTTCTGAAGTGTTTTCTGTACTCACTCTATCTCCTGCACGGATCCCGCCACACAGTGGAATCGTTCCGGGACGGTCTTCCACTCCCGGGCCAGTTTGACCATCCCTCCGGCATCCAGCACGCCGTATCCGAACAGATGGTTGAACTCCAGGCCCACACCGTTCCTCCTCCACTGGTGCACCTCGTCATGCAGCTTGTTCCTCTTAGAGGTGAGGACCGTCAGGTGCTGCAGGTCCCTCCACGTCAGGTTCGGACTGCAGGCAAACATAATGAAGGAAATAACGTCAAGCCTAGGATAACAAATCACTAGCATGACTGCTGTTTGTCATAAACTTGAATCATTCAAGCCTCCTTAAAGCTCCTGATCCTAATAGTTATCATATCAATTTAATATAAAATGTGCTCTATTGAGTGAATGACTTCCTGCAAAAAGCACATAGCAACAGAACAACAAAACCCTTACAGTTGCATATGGTTTCTAAAGAGCGCTCGACTCAAGATGAAGAGCAATTTGCACAGTGCGCTAGAGGAAGCGGATGTTGACTATATAATGTATAGATGTCTTGACTATTAATCCTAGATATTGGCAGTAAGACTAAACTTATATATGATGCATGAGGTTTATTTTATTAATACAAAGCTCTCTGGAACACTTCATTAAGTTCAATCACAGCGTTCAGTGGCAAAACAGGAAGCTCAGAAGAATAAGAAGAGCTGGATCAAGTTGCGGAAATGGCGACAGATCTTTTCTTTCATATAGTCTGAGAGTAACGGATGATCGAAAATTGCGGATTGATTCTGTGTATCGGTTGTTGATTGGATGTTGAGATGTGGGTGTGGCTTTCAACAACGGAGGCAGAGTTTAAGAGCACTAAATGACTGGAGAAGTCTCTCATTTCACTGGAAGATCCGGTTATGACATTTTGATATAAAAAAGAACCATGCATCAATGGGTCGCTCACAATAAGATCTATAACATGCATTTAGAAAACAGATTCTAAACTAGAGGAAAACAATTAACTTAATGTTGTATTATTTCATCTTGATAGGTTAAGTGATTTCTGTGTGGTAATGGATTGTTTTCTTAGCTGTTCCATAAGTGCCACCTGCTGTCAGCGACTGAATTTGCATTTTTTGCATGCTTTCACAATTTTGAAATTACACAATCTAATTAAAAAAAAAAAGATAACTGCTCATGCATCTTTGTTTGGATTGCGATTAAAGGGGGCATTGGATGCAAAATGAACGAGGGACAATTCAAGGCAGGTTTTGCTAAAAGTTAAAACTCAAGGATGGATCAGTACCCACTGTTCGTAATCCAGCTGCACCTCCAGAAGAAGTCTCACACTTTATATTTCTTATGATTATTTGCAAATCGCCTTTCCTCTTCCACAGAAGAGAGGGGTGGGGTTAGAAGAGCTCATTAGCATTTAAAGAGCCATGCACCGAAATGGGTCGCTGTGATCAGAGCTGTTTTTGACAAGATAAAAGGGGTGTTGTTTTACATGACCACTGAGGAATTTTAACCAAAGTATGTTGCGATGTCCCCTTTAAAATGCAGTGGTTGCCTCTAATTTCAAATGGCTACAGATCTTTGCAGTTCAGCCTGTAAATACACATCTTATTCATGTACACTTTCATTCTTTCTTGTCTTTTGGTTAAAGAAAAAAAGGCAATCAGTATCAGAATCGGACTTGTATACACTGTAGGTATACACACATAAATATATGTGTGTATGTATGTATGTATATATATATATATATATATATATATATATATATATATATATATATATATATATATATATATATAGAATGGTCTGACTGGACCAAAAATTCCAGGGCTGATATTTTGTCCCAGTCCAGCCCTGAGCCGTACTGCACTACACTCTTCTGAGTACTTCTCAAATATACAAACACATGCAAATAAGCTGCAGTTTACAATGTGTCTTTACATTTGGCTGAACAAAGGGACCTGCTCTCTCGCCACCTACATCATTATTTAGTACTGAGCAAACACAAAGACTTTACACAGGGAAGGCCGTGTCAACAGTTATTAACACCAGTCCTGACACCGTAATGTCCTACTGAAATGTGTGAACGGAGGCAGAAATGATGTGGCGAAACTGCCTTTTTCCCACCAGCCGCTCCTTACAAAGCTTTCTCAATCAAGTGTAATGAACCAAGTGTTGCTGTTGAAATCGCTGTCTTTTCCTCCACCTCGAGATCATGCTCTTCTGACTATGTGAATGTCCATCATAAAATTGGTTTTATTTGAGATGTTTTTAATTGGTAGTGATGCATAACATGTACATGGACTTTTCCAATTTCAATTTCAAACTTATATGAATTTATAAAACTGATAATATAAGGGAGAGTGTATAGGGAAAGTGCTGTGACTTGACACCTTTTTTTAGGTTTCAGAGACAATTCAACTTGCAAAAGCATTTCCTGTCAGGCTTTTATTTAAATAAGAATAAAAATCAATTAAAATCAGGGAATCTTGATGTGACGAGAGGGGCGGGGCCGAGAGCCGTGGGAACGGAGTGAGGCCAGTGGAGTAATTGCGAATGCGCGACACCTGCACCACTCACCGGTCTCGAGTCTCACGGAGGAGCTCCGGAAGGATACAAAGGAGGAGTGACGACAGGGAAAGACGAGAGAGGACCAGGCCTGGATTTTATTTTGGTTTTGTTTGTGCGCGACAGTCGTCCGCGAGGGGCTGTCGCGCTGTTTTGAGTTTATGTTATTATTAAAGTTTGTGTAAATGTTCGCCGGTTCCCGCCTCCTTCTTCCCGATCTACAAACGTTACACTTGACAATCAGCACTATTCCTGGCTTCAGAAAGCTGCATACCTGCATAGGCTTTTTAGGAAACATTGTTAGTAAGGACTGCATGGCAAGTTTATTTACAAAGGTGCCAGTGTTGGTGTGTGTTTATGTGGCACATTTTATAATAACATAATAAGAACAATACGATATGACCCCTCTAAAAGAAATAGTCATAGCTCTTTGTAGTTGATCTCAGTCAGTGTGGTTCCTCTTGACATGAAATATTGAGTCTTGAGCTTCACACGCTACTAATGAGCCTAAAGTACCAGATGCTGCCAAATATGATTTGATTCCTGGCATTCAGAGAAACCTGGGGTAATTGTTGGCTTGAACCAAAAGCGACTTTCAATTTCTTTTTCATGAAGTGATTAGCATATGTGGCACATTTTATAATAACATAATAAGAACAATACGATATGACCCCTCTAAAAGAAATAGTCATAGCTCTTTGTAGTTGATCTCAGTCAGTGTGGTTCCTCTTGACATGAAATATTGAGTCTTGAGCTTCACACGCTTCTAATGAGCCTAAAGTACCAGATGCTGCCAAATATGATTTGATTCCTGGCATTCAGAGAAACCTGGGGTAATTGTTGGCTTGAACCAAAAGCGACTTTCAATTTCTTTTTCATGAAGTGATTAGCAATGTACGCGCCAGTTTGATTCCTCATCAACAGCTGAAAGTATGTGGATATGAAGCATCTCTCAGTGATACCCTCCTTTCCACCAGCAGGGTAATGCTGCTGCTGCCAGAGCACAATCTCAGCCCTGATTCACACATTTATCTTCTTTGTCATGCTGCATAGCTGCTCCAGTTACTTTTTCTGTTCATTTCAAAATGAACTTATTTACTGAACTTCTGACTGTGATAGACTGGCCATCTGTCCAGGGAGAATGAATGGATGGATGGATGTTACAACAAAAGCTGCTTATTAAGGAATCCAATGACTTTGGGTGGAAGATAAGTTTTCAAATCGAGTAGTAAGATTTATAAGTAAAGGAGCATGAAACGGCATGTTTATTTGTTGGCAGGTCATGCGGTAACATCATCATTCAACTCTCAAATCACTGGGAAGACAGCTTTGGCTCTGGCATCAGCACTGTTTCAGTGTTAAAGGGTATCAATCATACATGAGGGAGGCTTTTTAGAGCAGGAGTTGTGCTTGCGGTGCTACGCTCTGACACAACCCTCGTCAGCAGTAATCTACGATCTCAGCTGCCGTCTGCCAGCGCTGCTGTCTTATTGTTTCATAAATCTTTGATGGAGGCTCACTACTCATCAGCGCTGTGCGCTGGAAAACAAAAGTGTACATACTTGGCCTCCAACGCCAGGGCAAACACGCCAGCAGCCTCAGGGGCGGCGGCAGATGTGCCCGAATGACGCAGTGTGCAGTTTCCATACAGATCCGTGGTGGCCTGGAGACAGAAACAGACAAAGAGAAAGCCTTAATTAAACATTAGCGCCAATGTAAACACCATGTAAAAATGTCTTTGAAATTCTAATTCAGTTCTGTCAGGACTATAATCATCACTTCAAAATGATTGACACTTTGCAGACAATTTGTATTGGGATTATGGTTCTGTTCTGGGTAAAATTCCCCGCTCATCCATGCAGCCTGTCATGAATGAGCAGGGAGAGCAGCATTAACCCCCTAGGGTAAACAGAACAGAACCGAATGCAGATATCATTAATGTTCTTAATGACATTTTAGTGTACAAACATTATTAAATATAAAAGGAGTCTGATTAAATGAGGAATATAGAAACAAGTCCTGACTGTGACAAAAGGAGGAGCTGGGGATGGAGGAGGGTAATTTGCTCCTGAGCAAGCAATAAAGCTACTGAATAATACAGAATAGACCTTATATAGGAATGTTGTGGTAGGCGTCATTTTTCTATATGTAGACGTGGATCAGCTGAGAGTGACCTGCCAGAACTAATAAATAAAGACTTAAGAGGCAGCAAAGAGGATGCGGAATTTTATGTTAAATTAAAAAAGTAAGAATGTATGAAATTCAAAGAGATTATTTGCTGTTCTAAGAAAATGTAATCATATTTAATAAGAATGACATTTTGAGATATAAATTGCCCAGAAATCATTTTATCATACACACAGCACAATGTATAGAAATCTGTGAGCAATCTCAAAATGTATTTAACTCTAATACATTAATCGTTTTATTGACTATGGTGGAAGAACATCAATGAGTCAAACCAAGATGAAGCAGCCGTCCACTGTAAAAAGTGTTTTTTTTTTTTTTTGTGGCCAGCTCATCAATGGAACGGAAGTCAATTCGTAAATGTTGAACTTTGTTGATCATTAACAGAACTTGTAATGAAGCACTTGGTTCGGTTGAGCGCAATAAGGATGACCCTACAAAATCCCAAAGCTTTGTTCGTCACAACAACACTTTGAGGTAATGTCCTCAGCATTAGTTGGCATTTCATGATCTATCAAAGGCAGGAGATGAAAGAAACATCCATATTTACCCTCCAGAGATGGACGTATGTACTTGTGACTAATTTTGACTGATGTAAGCAAACCTCACTAAAAGCACTGAGATGAAAGCCAAAAAATAAAGTATTTAGTGCTTTGTTTTATTTGATGTAGGCCTAACCTGTGTAAATATATTTGATTCAAAATCATTGTCTGTGAAAACTATCGGTTAATGAATATTGAGTATGTTTTTCCAAAAGCTGTCACAGGTTTAATGTTAACAATGAAGAAACACCTTCTTAATGGCAAATTTATTTCAAGAAATCCAGATGCATCTATCAAGTCAATTGCTTCATAATGTAATCACTGAATCCCCACAAGTATGAAAAATCACCTGTAAGTAAAATACTAACACTAAATATTAAAAGCAAGACATAGTATTACATTTTCTGTATCTAAAGAAATTATTCACCAAAAAAATTAAAATGCTATCTTTATTTATTGACCGTCATCTTGTTACAAACCTGTCTGCTGTATTTCGTATTTATTACTGATATTATTAAAATTATTTAAATAGTCTCTCAAGTCCCAAAAATACACCATGGCCTTAACATAAAAATAGTTTATTTCCACATTTGCTTTATAAAATCCCACAATAGCTTTGTGTAAAGAACTGATAAAAATATAAGTCAATTATTCACTGATAATCTTCCCCTTTTTATTTATTTATTTCTTAAAGAAGAAAAGGGTAATCATTTGCACCATGTATTTTGGGTTTCATCTCTACCATTCAGTGCTCAATCAGAAAAAAGCGATAAACTGGTGTGTCACAACACCAAACCAAAGCAGCCCTGAGAGAATCCGGACTGACACAAGGCAATTCCTGCCTTTCCATTGACAGGACGATCTCTGACAGACTAACCACAGTCTTCATCTCATGTGCTTTCTTTGAGTCTTGCTCTGATTAAGTTCCTAGCTGAATGCATCCCTCCAATTCCATCTGAGAGTCATTGTTCAGACACAAAATATATGAAACTATTAACTCTCCCCGTCATTTTATCACTGTCATACTCTGTATTATCACTCTGCGGAATAAGGGATTGCGTTTCAAATCAATGTTTCAAAGCACCTATGACATGCACACTCTTGCACACCAAACTGAATCTTGTTGTAAACATTTCCAGACTCAGTATCACATCACTGGAACCATCCTGGTTCCATCCACTTCAAATAACTAAATCTGTAGGAAACACCTATATACGCACACACACACACTCACCACGCCTGCTTCAGGGTTTCTTTTACGGCCGTTGCTGAAGGTGGAGGCGAGGGTGGAGGAGCAGCTTTCATCATAGAGCGCGGTGCGTCCGTCATTGATGGCCGAGTTAATAGAGATGGTCCACATGCTGGAGGCGTATCCGTCGCAGTTACAGTCGTCATAGCTACCACCGTCTCCGGAGGCCCACACATAGATGCTGCCTTTCCCACCTCGACCCTGTTGGACATGCAAAGCGGCACGATTACGACCGGCACTCGCACCCGCTACAGCTCAATAAGGAGCAGTTGTCTCTCTTTGATATGTCTCTTTAAGAGCCATTGAGATTTACTCCATTTCTCATACAAATTATACTCACATAACCACAAGTAATTCAACAGAGACATCAGAGAGGCATTTCAAGACCTTTTAAAGACTACAAGCTCTCCTCTGAGTGTCGATGATTCAGGCACAGGCACTGTGTTTACGGTTCTTGTCTGAACATATAATTTTGATGCTTTTAGATGAATGCAAGAGCACTCTTTTCTTTAAGCTTTGTGTTTTATAGTGGCAGGCACCTGACAGGAGGAAATTTGTACAGTGCAATCGTGATCTTAAAAGGGTGCTTGATTATTGTTATTTGAACAGTACATTATGATTTACCATACTAACACATCGAGGAGCGATTATGGTGCTTCCAGACCCCAGGGCATCAGCCTCTTTGGAGTAAACAAATAAGAAAATAAGATGGTGTCTTTACATCTGCAATCGCTACAGAAACTTTACGACTTCTCATTAAGATTACTAATTGAGATTTTATATCAAAATGACTCATTCAGCGTCTAATAACCCCAATGTTATGTTTGGCAAATGTGACTTGTCAAGGGGCTAATAAAACTTGACAATGTTTGTCTGCTAATATGAGGAATAAAGTCTCAACTGTGTTAATAAAATAAAGTCACAATTACACACCACGTGTTTAATACATTGCAAGGGTGAAAACAATTTAGACTTCATCAACAAGCTATGCTAAGGTGTTCAGAAGCCATTATTAGAGCCGAGGGAGTGCCAGGGACCAATAACACATCTCATTTCTCCAACCCTGGCTCATTGGAAAAACATGCCTGTAGCAACATTTCTGCTATTACGTTGCTTCTTGCATGTTTTGCAACATGTTCAAATGTCCAGTGAGTGGCCCTAAAAGTGTATTAATTTTATCAGAAACAAATGAATGTCAATCTGCCAATATTTTATTACGCTGGTTGTTGTACGTATCACAGCAGTTCGGATCCAGTAAGTGGCACTAAAAGGTTAGTGCTTTATCGCGTATGTACTACCTACACTAAACCCGACACAAAGCCTAACCAACAGTAAGCCTACCAGCATATTCTGCATGACCATATTCTACATCCTTAATCCTACTCTATACCTAAACTTAACAACTACCTTACTAACAGCAATTAAGAGTTTATTGAGGCAAAAGTTGTAGTTAATAGTTAGTTAATAGTGAGAACTGGACTTTAAAATAAAGTGTGACTGAAATTTCTTTTTCCAGAAAATGTTAATGTTATCGGATTCGGCTAAAACTTATTGAATTTGCTTAAACTGGGTATAACAACTTCCCCGATCTTTTTTTTTATTTTTTTTATAATTTTTTCAATTTTTGGGGGGGATTGTTTTTCCCCCACCTTGTTTCACTTGAGGTGTTCCCAGTCAAAAATTGCCTGCCTACAAAAAGCAGCTTATAAGTTTCTCTTTATGCTATATTATCACCAAATATTAGATTTAATCTTTTTATCAACTTGGTTTTTCTTTCAATTAAGACAGATTTTGGGTTTCTTTTAGGAACTGACTGATCGTAGGCCTTGCTGATCTGAGCTTATACACAGTTTTTGAGTGTAAAAAAGGCATTATTTGTAGATAATTTTGCCAATATTAAAATATTTTTGTGCTAACACACACACACACGTTCATGTACACAATCTATTTTGAATGTTACAGGCTTTTCTTTCCAACTATCATCAGATCAATGAGGCCCAGATCAGTGAGACCTACTTTCAATCAATATCTGAAATAAACAAAACCTATCATAATTAAAAGAAAACAAGTTCACAAAAAGATTGATATTTAGTGATAATATTGTCAGGTGGCTGTAAGACAGATGGACCCAAATGCAGAGGAAATAATGCAAACAGTTTATTGAATGTTCACAGAGAAAGAACTGTTCAAATAGAAAGACTATAGTCCTCATGGGTTGCAGCAGATGAAGAACAAATACTGGGTACAAACTGGGCTGGAGAAAACCCCATGAGATCTGCAGAGTGTGTCAGAACCAGAGTCCACTGAAGAGGGGGGGGGGATGCAAAAACAGGTAAATCCAAAAACCAAAAAAACACTAACCAGGAACAAAAACTAGAAAAGCACTGGCGCTAAACACCGAAATGGTAGACAGGAGCTGCAACACACTAAGACCACAAAGAACAATCTGGCAAGGAACAAGACAAACAAATGAGCATATATAGGGAGCTGGTAATGAGAAACAGGTGAATGCAATTAGCCTGTGAGCTGAGCAATAAGCGTCTCCATAGAAACACCCACACAGACACACAAAAACACCCAGGAAGGAGTGAAAAACTCACAGGAAGGCCAGTGGACAACCAGAACTGTGACAAATATAGCATAACGAGAAATTTACAAGCAATTTTTTTTCGTAGGCTGGTCATTTTTGACCGGGAACACAAAAGGTTCTATAGGCTTTTCAACAGCACAAGGGTTAATAATCAATCATCTGCTCCTGTAATAATAATTTGTGTGAAAAGGAAAAAAAAATAGGTGTTAAAGAGTAATTTACTTTCCATTTCTGCTGTAAACATCAGTGAATTGTATGTATAGGTACGTTTTTGTTGTTTTGTAAAAATGTAGGTAGAAGCATGATTTCCAATGAGCCTATGTTACATTTCTTAGTTTATTTCACCTTGTGCCAACATTTAGAGGCACCTGTTTGAGTGTTGTTTGTCTATCAATATCAATTTTACATTGCAGTGCCTTGTTTTTGGGTGTCAGACCTCTACTGGCCCCATTAGCCTAGACCATGATCCAACCTTTTTTACATTTCGCTTGACTGATTAAATTAATATTCTGGTTCCTGTCAAATTTAAAATCTAACATAGACCACAAACAACTTCAACTGGTGTCATTTTAGTGAACATAACCTCTCCATCTCTCTCTGTTTCTATTTGTCTCTTGCTCTTTATGAATGGAAACCCATCAGCCGAACTCCAGAACAATTAGCTAAAACAAACGATTGCACTTGAGCTGCATGATTTGAGGTCAGTCAAAAGTCTGAAAAGTTTTTTTTTGAATGTTTATGGTTTAACTGTGGGTGCGTCTCAATCAGCTCCCTAGCTCCCGAGCTCGTGAATCAGTTTATTGTGTACACGAATTCGGTCACTGGTACGTTCCCTAGCTCACTGCACATTGGGAAAGTGATGACTCAATTTCTGGTACAACGTCCACGGACAACATTGTAGAACGTCACCGCTGTAATTAATCATCAACAGGCAGGACCAAACTCTTTTTGATATAATTTTTTATTCTCTTGAAACACATTGTTCTTTTGCATGTTCTTACAACATTTCAGCCGAATATTAATTATAAATGTTAATTAGATGTGTTCATTACCTGTCTAGCGATGTGTTTATGTTGAAATATACTAAAAACGGTCTGTCTTTTCAAATCTTCTATCGCGTGTCATTATATTTATCGAGTTGGCTCGTCTGTAATTTCCGGTTAAGGGAGCATATAGTTTTTGCGGTGCATTGTGGGATTTTTCAGGGAGCAAATGTTCCAGTGCATTGGAAGGATTTCACGATTGAGACAGCCCTTAAAATGGCCGACTCCCTGATCAGAGCCCTGACTACTGAACTAGGGAGCTGATTGAGACGCACCCTGTGTTTTTGCTAAATCAACTGGTTTTAAGCTGTTTTTGCTAACTCAGATGATTTTAACTTATTTTAGTTTTTTTTTTTTTTTTTTTTACTAAAACAGCTGTTTTTAGCTGTTCTGTTTTTTAGCTGGTTCTTGCTAAATCAACTAGTTTTAGCTGGTTTTAACTGTTTTTTAACATGCTAGAAACATGCTAGTAACTTGCTAATCATGGTAACAGCATGTTTGTAACACACTAAACATGCAAGCAAAATGCTTTAACATGCTAATCATGCTAGAAACATGATACTAACATGCTAATCATGCAATTGACATGCTAGTAACATGCTAATCATACTAGAAGCATGGTAGTAAAACGATATCCATGCTAACAACATGCTAGCAAAATGTTAATAATTCTAAAAACATGTTACTAACATGCTTGTAACTTGCTAATCATGCTAGAAACATACTAACAACATGCTACCAACATGAATATTGCTAGAATTATCCACAAATATTGCTTTTTTCACTCAAAATCTAAGGTGCTCAGATCAATTAGTTCCTCAAAGTAATGCAAACCTATGCAAATTAAAAGAAAACAAGTTGATAAAAAGCTGACTGACAATATATCATAATGAAAGATTAACAAGCAAGGATCATTAGGTAAAGGATTTTCAGTTCAGCGCAATGCTTAAATAATTGGATGTGTGTTATATCTACTTACACAAAATGTGTAATCCTGGTTATATATTTGATTATTTGAATTATTTGCTAGTGGTGGACCAGCATTGCCATGGTGTTCAACAGCAAAACAGAATATCGTCGATCAAAGGTCAGCTGGTTAAAGGAATGTTCTTGCTTTATTTTGTCTTCGGTTCTATTTTAAGTTCAAGTTTATCACCACAGAAAATCATTGGGACTGATAGAAAATCCTTCTATCATGTGTGTATACTGCGCATAATCATACCATGTTACAAGAACATGACACTGGATATAACTTTATATGTCTATTGCAATGCCCCATGTGTTTCCATTATACTTGCTGTACAGTGACCACAAATTCTGACTGACAAGTCGAGATGATTTTCTGTGGTAAGTGACATTATGCCAAACATGCTGTCACCAGCAGACAAACCACACTGCTGAACTGTATGTGTCATTTCATTAGCAATCCGTGTGGCATCCTACAAATAAATAAATGAAGCATACGAGAAGTGTTTGCCATCTGACCCTAATAATGATTAAACAGCGCTCAGTATTTCTCCCAGACTCAAACTCAGCCCTCTCGAAATGCAGTGAGGAAGCCTGAGGGACAAACG